GAACAGTGGTAATGCATTAAAAGTTTAAAACCCTATGACTACATTGTGCCCCAGTAAAATCAGGATTGACGTGTTGTAGGTATGCCAAACGTGTTTCCTTGAGAAGCAAAAATGTTGCTTGTTAGTTACACAAGAGGAACTCCGCCTATGTTGTCTCAACATAGCCGGTCCCAAGCCCGGGTAAAGGAGGAGGGTTGTGATAGGCTTGGCGAGCCAACGTAAAAACTCAGCCACTCTTATGGAGATGAAACCCAAAAGATTTTCTGTGCCAGAGCCATGAGTTGGTTGCGAGATCTTATGGGTTTCACCTCTAGCCTACCCCAACTTGTTTGGGACTAAAGGCTTTGTTGTTGTTGTTGTTGTTGTTAGTTACACAAGAGGGGGTGGAAACCCTGAAACAAAAAAGCTCTAGTGCTTCTCACCATGAATTGTGTGCGGTGACCTCAGTAAACAATCGGTTCGTCCCACCGCTCTGCAGCAACAGCGATTCTCAGATATATAGCCAAGAAGCTTGTCCGCTAAGGTAGACATCGCCACTTCGCAACTTCGCCTAATTTCAGATATATTTTCCATCATGTGTGCATTATGTTCTTCCAAAATGGTCATAAGCGGGTGGTCTGCCTGCGTTTGCACTATCAGTTACATAAACAGAAGGAGCACAACTCGATGTAACATGAAGAAATCACAACTAACAATAAGAAATTAATGACTCACAAGTGACGGGTATTTCAATCGGAGATGGTTGGAGAAATCTTCTTGTCCAGTTTCAGTGAAGCTGCTTCGTAGCATGGGAGTAATTGGGTTGTGTTGGTGCTTTGTGCCAACAAAACCTGGGGCATGATGGGGCAGGTCAGAAGCTACATCTGCTCGGTGAGTGTGGCTTTCACAGTGGACTCTGGAGTAGCAAACATCTTGAGCGCGCCTAAACTGGCATGTAAAACAGGAAGGAATAAAAAATATGAACGTGTACATGACCACTGCATGTGTTCAACTACTGAACCGAACACTATTCTGTCATTCAGTGAAAGCACATACTGTCTGTATGCAAATTTAAATGGGAGAGGTCTCACACTAGCTCCAGCGAATGATGTATCTCCATCCACGTTGCTAGTAATCACTTCTATCATCTTCTTAACCGACTCGTAGTCAAAAAGACTAATCCTTGGTAGATGGTCTTTTGTCTTGGAAAGTGGACCAAGATCAAGATTGTCCAAGTAGAATACCTGCACGACATTTGCACATTCAAATATTATGGTCTGAGCTGAAGAGAATTATGATACACAAAAATAATAGGAAGAAAAAAGGACCTGAAGAAACAGGTGGCAGCCAACAAGATGTACAGTGATGTTCCGGTTGCGGATATCAGTTTTCAACTTCCCAACAGCTCTGTTCAAATGCTCGAGTACATAAGCACACCAATTAAATTCTTTAATTTGCGAGATATCGTTGAGTGCGGCCCAGAAATCTATGGTGATGTAGTCATGCTTAGTTGATGGAGCCAAGAGGTGCCCAACAACAAAAATAACAAAGGCTATCTTGAAGCAATCTATCTGGACATTGCTGGAATCTCCATTGATGTCATCTCTCAGGAGATAAGCCTCCGCGGCCTTTAGACTATGCGCACCTTTGCTCAAATAGGCAGAAGCTCGCATGAACTCTTTGCAAGCTTCAGACGGCTCGGTTGTATCGGGGCATATCGATCTGGTGCCGCATGGCAGACTGAATACCTTCTGGACATCATGGTCCTGGATCTGCAGAACCCTTTGCTCGTCTATTTTCAGTGTACTCGACTCGACGTCGACTCTTTCCATTAGCCACGCGCTGAACTTCAAATTCAACTTTGCCAGCATCTTGATCCCCAGCATCCCACCAAAGCCTATCTCCTCGACCAAATCCCTCTTAAATTTGTTAAACTTGCCAACGAGCGAGCACACCTTCTGCACCGAAATCCTTGACGTGACAGAAGGTGCGGATCCAGGAGCGCATATTGCTTCGCCTGGATCAGCATCTGCTATGTCGGCAGCTCCGTGATCCCTGCCGCTATTCTCTGTGGCTGTGGCGGCGTCTCGCTGGTCTTGTTCCAAGGTGGCATGCGGTGCCGGCTGCTCCAGTGGCGCCACCATGTGATGAACTAACTAACAGACGGACAGCACACAAGTAAATTTTGCTGACTCCTCTAAACAAGGCGCTGCAAAAAAAGGATTTACGAGTGGGCGTGTGATCGGTCCATTGGTTTGAAGTTTAAACTAGCTGATAACGAAAGGAGGAACTCTGAACAAATGGACAGAGAGCATTTCTCATACCCGGCAGTAAGAACCTACTTAGATTCGTAAGACCATGAGTACCTGAAGGGGACCGGGGACGTACCTGGCCAAGGCAGCAGTCGCGCCGGCGTCTCCAAATCACCACCTTCAGCCGGGCGACCACACCTCACTAAGTTCTCCGTAGCTCAACTGCCATGGATTGCGAGCAGATGAGAGGGGTTTGCGAGCAGGGGTGTGTGTGGTGTGATATGAGGGTGGGTGGACAGATGGGGGTTGGAACCACCGTAATAATTGTTGGATGATACACTTGTGGGGGTTAAGCCCAAGAGTCTTGCTATGCGTACGACTCTTGCTTGTCCGATTTCATACGACATAGCAGATCAAGCCGTTTAACTCCTGATCCAAATGGCAGCACACCACTAGACTAGGCATCGTATAGAGTCGGACAGAATAAGATCGTACGCGCAGTAGTTCCGTAAGCCCAAAGGCATCCCAAATGCTAATCTCTAGTAGATCCCGCAAACCGAATTGCGGGATCCATTTCGCATATCCGTCCTGATTAGATTCTTCAAATCTGGTTATTTTAAGAAAAAAATTGCGAGAATCTGCGAGCTCATTTCCTCCATATCTACGTGATTTCATTCGATTTTGTCGGGCCCCTATCTGTTGGCCAAACTCACTTCCGCTGCCTCTACTCCCTGCCGCCGCAAATTCCCACCCCTTTGTTGCTACCCGTGGCTGCCCTGCGCAGCCTGAAATCTCCGCCGCTTTGCGTCGCATCATTCCACCTCGTTTTGGCGCTCGGGGGTGCTTGTGTTCACCGCTCGCGGCCGTCGCCAGTGCCATGGATCCGCCCCGGAGCTCGGCGTGCGGGCTTGTAGCTTGCGGATCTGGTTGGTTCCGGTGCCTATGACCGGCGCACGTCTGAGGAAGAGGGCAGCGTGACTTTGCTTTGGCCGACGGGGAGAAGAAAGGGGGGCGCGACGCGGTTTCGCTTCGTGCGACGGGGAAGAAGAAAGGGGTGGCACGGCTTTGCTTCGGTCAGCAAGGGAGAAGAAAGGGGTGGCGTTGTGTGGCTTTGCTTCGGCCGAGGTATGTACAACACCCGTGGTTCGTGCTCAATTTGGCCCGGAGTAGGTTCGGGTGAAATTCATGGCTATTTTGTGTGCATTTTGTAGATGGATTGGAGTTCTCATCTTTGTCCGATGATTCGGACACAGAAGAGATATGATCCTCGACGACGACGATGACAACCTAGTGTTGTTGCATCTCGTCGACGAATTTGAGGGAGACCAAAGAAAAGGCGACGTGGATCGTCGAGGATGAGAGAGATTTGGACTTGAAGTACAAGTATGACAATGTTGTTAGTCATGTGAAGCCTGCCAGGGATGCAAATGAGATCACTGCATTTCTTGAGACCTACCGGAACATCAAGAACCATGATTCGCATAACCAACTCCAGCATGATCTTAATGAACATCGGTGGCAACTCTATGGGGGGAGATAGATCCCCATTTTTATTCATTTCTATTTGTGTGAGATTTGAACAATTTGGTGTTGTAATAATTATTTCAATTTGAACATTTTTTATAATGAAAACTATTGTTGTATTGTGAATTGCTTTTTGGACCATTTATATATTCATATGTTGAATTTATATTACGATTCCAGACGGTTGATATCATTGAAATGTGTAATTTGTTTGATGTTATGCAAAATTTACGATGCCACCAGCACTCCGCCGGAACAGATCCCGCAAACGCGTCCCACAAAACATTTGTGGGACGCGTTTGCGGGATCTGTTCCGCCAGAGCGCTCGCGCCACCATATAATTGTGGGCGCCCTTATATGCGTTTTGCAGGCCGCCTGGTTGCGGGATCATCTAGAGATGCTCTAACCCGCAAAATGGACACAACATCCGTCCGCGGACAGGGAGACCAGTCTGAAGATAGGAAGACCAGTTTGCGGACAGAGATCCGACCATCCGACGTACATTTCAAACTCTGTGAAAGGATCGATATGGTTGACTTCCATGCCAATTTTTAACTTTTCTTAACAAATTAGGGTTAGCAACAAATAGTTTATCTAGATATGCAACTAGGTGGGCAACCTATATGATGCTAACAACACAAGCAACACGAGCAAGAAAATGGTACAACACAAGTAAAGGTTGTACAAAGTAAAGGTAAGAGATAACCACAAGTGGAGACGGTGAAGACGAGGATCTGTTACCAAAGTTCCTTCTCTTTGAGAGGAAGTACGTCTCCGTTTAAGCGGTGTGGAGGCACAATGCTCCCCAAGAAGCCACTAGGGCTGCCGTATTGTCCTCGTGCACTCACACAATGCGAGAAGCCATGATTCCACTAGTGGTGCCCTTGAAGGCGGTAACCGAACCTTTACAAACAAGGTTAGGGCAATCTCCACAACTTAATTGGAGGCTCCCAACAACACCACGAAGCTTCACCACAATGGAATGTGGCTCTGAGTTGACCTCAACCGTCTAGGGTGCTCAAACACCCAAGAGTAACAAGATCCGCAAGTGATTGGTGGGGGGAATCAAATTTCTCTTGGTGGAAGTGTAGATCTAGGCCTTCTCAACCAATCCCTAAAGAATCAACAAGTTTGAGTGGCTAGGGAGAGAGATCGGGCAGAAATGAGCTTGAGAGCAACAATGGAGCTTGGGGGAGGAAGAGGTAGTCAACTAGAAGAAAGATGACTCCTTTATATAGTGGGGGAAGGGATCCAACCGTTATGCTCCCACTGTCCGTGCATAAGCGATAGTACCGCTTGGGTGAGTAGTACTTCCGCTGGCACGAAAGTTCTGGCCACACAGTTCAAGATGAACATGTCAAGGAGGCGGAAGTACTACCGAAGCAGTACTACCGCTCCCACCAATGGTAGTACCGCGTGGTGTTGGACTGTAGCCAAAACTCGCGGTAGTAGGGGAGGGAAGGGCGGTAGAACCGCCCAGAGAAGTACTACCGTGGGGAACTGCCGCTCTACTACCGCCCGTGGAACAGACTAGACCAGAACAACAAAATTAAGCGGTACTCTCCACGGCACAAGCCAGCGGTAGTTCCACTGGAGCGGTACTACCGTGGCTTGGAGCGGTACTTCCACCTATTTGTAGAGGGTTCAGTAAACCCGCGGTAGTAGGGTGGTGGTTATGCCCGCAGTACCGCTGGAGCGGTACTATCATTCATAATTGTCGCTCTACTACCGCCCATTCACAGAACCATCAAAATAAGCGGAAGTGGGAGCCATACTGCACAACGACAGTATCATAGGAAGGGTACTACCGTGGGGCAGAGCGGTGCTACCGCTTAGCCTATTCTGACAAGGTCTAGACGCAAAGGATGGACAAGCTTAAATGTCGGGAAAGAACAAGGGTGTAAAGAGATCACCCAAACCTTTCCGAAGCGGACCCCCTTTTAATAGTACAGTGTACCTACGACTCAAGCCCACCAAAAAAGAAACGCAAGAAAAACACCGTCTTCATAAATATCCATGGGGGTTCCAATCGCCTTGTGCCATAACATAGATTATCTAAAATGCTCAATGCACACGATCAGTCCACAAAAGCATTGTCATCAATCACCAAAACCACCAAGGGAGAAATATGCCCTAACAATCTCCCTTTCTTTGGTGGACTGATGACAACACGGGATTTGCACAAGGATATGATAAGATAACATGCAATCCCAACATCTACAAAATATATATGGGCTCCCCCTAGATGTGTGCACTATTTGAGTATGCCTTTGGAATGCGAAGCACACTCACTAGGAATTTGCACTCCCCCTATATTTTATAAACTGTCAATACTTGCAACCATAATATAAGATGAATAAGCAAGGATGCAAGTAAATAGCATGTGAGCATAAAGATAGGCACAAGATAGATAACATCTCACAACCTAATACATAGACATAAAGATAAAGATAAGGTAGCATATGTCTCACACCATATAATAGGTACTAAAGGTTCCACACACGGACATAAAGCAAACCAAATGAAAGAGTTCACGAGAGAACGAAAGCAACAACAAAGAAGGCACAATTCTGACTCTGCAAATCCCTAAGCTCTCTCCCCCCTAGGCATCGAGACACCAAAATGGCAAAGAGCACTAGACACGACCAAGGTGATGGTGAAGCGCCAGCTGACACGTCATCAACGTATCTATAATTTTTTATTGTTCCATGTTATTATATTACCCGTTTTGGATGTTTATGGGCTTTACTATACACTTTTATATCATTTTTGGGACTAACCTACTAACCGGAGGCCCAACCCAAATTGCTGTTTTTTTTGCCTATTTCAGTGTTTTGAAGAAAAGGAATATCAAACGGAGTCCAAACAGAATGAAACCTTCGGGAGCGATCTTTTTGGAACAAACGCAATCCAGGAGACTTGGAGTGGACGTCAAGCAGCAGTCCAGGTGGCCATGAGGCAGGAGGGCCCGCCCTAGGGGGGGTGGGCGCTTTCCCCACCCTCATGGGCCCCTCGTTGCTCTACCGACCTACTTCTTCCTCCTATATATACCTACATACCCCGAAAACATCAAGGAGGACCACAAAACCCTATTTCCACCGCCGCAACCTTCTGTACCCGTGAGATCCCATCTTGGAGCCTTTTCCGGCGCTCCGCCGGAGGGGGAATCAATCACGAAGGGCCTCTACATCATCGCCAAGGCCTCTCCTATGAGTTGTGAGTAGTTTACCACAGACCTTCGGATCCATAGTTATTAGCTAGATGGCTTCTTCTCTCTCTTTGAATCTCAATACAAAGATCTCCTCGATCTTCTTCGAGATCTATTCGATGTAACTCTTTTTGCGGTGTGTTTGTCGAGATCCGATGAATTGTGGGTTTATGATCAAGTTTATCTATGAGAAATATTTGAATCTCCTCTGAATTCTTTTATGTATGATTGGTTATCTTTGCAAGTCTCTTTGAATTATCAGTTTGGTTTGGCCTACTAGATTGATCTTTCTTACAATGGGAGAAGTGCTTAGCTTTGGGTTCAATCTTGCGGTGTCCTTTCCCAGTGACAGCAGGGGCAGCAAGGCACGTATTGTATTGTTGCCATCGAGGATAAAAAGATGGGGTTTATATCATATTCCTTGAGTTTATCCCTCTACATCATGTCATCTTGCCTAATGCGTTACTCAGTTCTTATGAACTTACTACTCTAGATGCATGCTGGATAGTGGTCGATGTGTGGAGTAACAGTAGTAGATGCACGTAGGAGTTGGTCTACTTGTTGCGGACGTGATACCTATATACATGATCATGCCTAGATATTCTCATAACAATGTACTTTTCTATCAATTGCTTGACAGTAATTTGTTCACCCAACGTAATACTGATAACCCACAAGTATAGGGGATCGCAACAATTTTCGAGGGTAGAGTATTCAACCCAAATTTATTGATTCGACACAAGGAGAGCCAAAGAATATTCTCAAGTATTAGCAGTTGAGTTGTCAATTCAACCACACCTGGATAACTTAGTATCTCCAGCAAAGTATTTAGTAGAAAAGTAGTATGGAAGTAAAAGTAATAGTAGCAAAAGTAACAACAACAGTTTTGTAGTAATTGTAACAGTCGCAACGATAAAGTAAATAAGCAAAGAGCAATATGTGAAAAGCTCGTAGGCATTAGATCAGTGATGGATAATTATGTCGGATGCGATTCCTCGTGTAATAATTATAACATAGGGTGACACAGAACTAGCTCCAGTTCATCAATGTAATATAGGCATGTATTCCAAATATAGTCATACGTGCTTATGGAAAAGAACTTGCATGACATATTTTGTCCTACCCTCCCGTGGCAGCGGGGTCCTAATGGAAACTAAGGGATATTAAGGCCTCCTTTTAATAGAGTACCGAATCAAAGCATTAACACTTAGTGAATACATGAACTCCTCAAACTACGGTCATCACCGGTAAGTATCCCGATTATTGTCACTTCGGGGTTAATGGATCTTAACATGTAATAGGTGACTATAGACTTGCAAGATAGGATCAAGAACTCACATATATTCATGAAAACATAATAGGTTCAGATATGAAATCATGGCACTCGGTCCCTAGTGACAAGCATTAAGCATAGCAAAGTCATAGCAACATCAATCTCAAAACATGGTGGATACTAGGGATCAAACCCCTAACAAAACTAAGTTAATTACATGGTAAATCTCATCCAACACATCACCGTCTAGCAAGCCTACGATGGAATTACTCACGCACGGCGGTGAGCATCATGAAATTGGTGATGGAGGATGGTTGATGATGACGACGGCGATGGATTCCCCCTCTTCGAAGCCCCGAACAGACTCCAGATCAGCCCTCCCGAGAGAGTTTAGGGCTTGGCGGCGGCTCTGTATCGTAAAACATGATGAATTCTTCTCTCTGATTTTTTTCTCCCCGAACGTGAATATATGGAGTTGGAGTTGAGGTCGGTGGAGCTTCAGGGGGCCCACGAGGCAGGGGACGCGCCCTAGGGGGGCGCCGCCACCCTCGTGGACAGGGTGTGGGCCCCCTGATGTTGATTCTTTCGCCAGTATTTTTTATTAATTCCAAAAAGTTGCTCTGTGGATTTTCAGGCCATTCTGAGAACTTTTATTTCTGCACAAAAATAACACCATGGCAGTTCTCCTGAAAACAACGTCAGTCCGGGTTAGTTCCATTCAAATCATGCAAGTTAGAGTCCAAAACAAGGGCAAAAGTGTTTGGAAAAGTAGATACGACGGAGACGTATCAACTCCCCCAAACTTAAACCTTTGCTTGTCCTCAAGCAATTCAGTTGACAAACTGAAAGTGATAAACAAAAACTTTTACAAACTCTGTTTGCTCTTGTTGTTGCAAATATGTAAAGCCAGCATTCAAGTTTTCAG